TTGGGGTTCTTCCAAAGATGCTTGTGGAAATGAATCGTCTGGTAGTGGTTGGGGCTCTCCAAAGGTTGGCAACAATGATGGGGCTAAGGGACAATTTCAACGGGGCGCACACAAGAGTGTAGGATCCTCTGGTGAGGCAGATGAACACAGGAATGATTCAGGTGCTGGTGCTGCGTTGGGCTCTCCAAAGGTTGGTAACAATGACGAGGGGGGCAATGGAGAATCTCAATGGCTCCCACGGAAGAGGAATAGAGAAGACAATAATGAAAGTGTGCAAAGTTGGGGGGCTTCTGCAGGTGCTGGAGGAGGGGATTGGAAGAATAAGGGAAACCTCCCACCAAATCCAGCTGATAATTCTGGGGCTGGTGTGGCTTTCACCTTTACAAGGCAGAGGTTGGTCAAATTCACAGCTGAGGAGCATGAGGAGCAAGAGATTCTCGTTGAGATTGAGCGTAGCATGCAAAACATCAGAAGGATAAAGCATCAATTAGGGTAATCACATTTACTAATTATGGTGGATGAACATTTAAATCTAATATGATACTTGTCTAAGTTGCTTCTCATTTATGATTGCTTTAAGAATGTTGTTTCAATTTGATTTTGGAGTTCTATTAAATATTGTGTGCTTCTTGCAAAACTTGATACTGTGTTCCAATTTTCATAAGTAGTAATATAAATGGAAAATGAAAAAAGTGCATCGCGTTCTAACTTGTTTCACTTGTCTTTCTTCTTCTTCTTCTTCTTGTGATCAAAGGTTGAATGACGGTGATCCACTAACTCCTGATGGCAAGGCGTATATTGTTGAGAATGTTGTCAGTTATCATCCGGATGATGTCAACCCGAAGCCAAGTTCTGGAAACTGGAACCGAACTACCGATGGAGCTCCGTCAACCTCCAGTGGTGGTTGGAGTAATAAACCAGAATCTAATAAAGGTCTCGTTCAGCCTGGATCCTCCTGGGGGGCAAATGATGATGAATCTGATCCCTCCTCTGCTTGGGGAAAAAGTGCCCAAGAAGATAGCGGTGGAAAGAAGCAAGGAGGGGAATGGAACGCGTGGCGAAAAGGAACCAATGAATCACCGACTCAAGCAGAAACAACACAAGGTAGCTGGGGTAATACCAGTTCCAAGTCTACAGAAGAAGGTAGCTGGGGTAGAAAAGGTAACTCAGGTAAACAGAAGAATGAAGCGGTTGGAGGGTGGGCTTCCTCTAATAAGAGTAGTGGTTGTTCTGATTGGGTCTCAAAGAAAAGAGAGTCTGCAATCAATGACTCAGGTGGTGGCTGGGGTTCTTCCAAGGGTGGTGCTGCTGCTGCTGATTGGGCATCACAGAAGAGAGAGTCTCCTGTTAGTGAAAGGAGTAATGATTCACCCAGTTGTGGTTGGGGTTCCTTTAAGGGTGCTGCTGGTGATTGGACCTCACAGAAGAGAGGGTCTGTGGTCAATAATGACTCATCCAGTGGTGGTTGGGGTTCCTCCAAGGGTGGTTGTGGTCCGGATTATGCCTCGCAGAAAAGAGGTTCTCGTGTCAATGACTCAGCAGGTGGTGGTTGGGGTTCTTCCATGAGTGGTGGTGGTGCTGATTGGAACTCACAGAAAAAAGAGTGCCTGGTCAATGACTCAGTCGATGGTGGTTGGGGTTCTTCCAAGGGTGGTGCTGCTGCTGCTGCCGCTGCCGCTGCCTCGACCTCACAAAAAAAAGAGTGCCCGGTTAATGAAAGGAGTAATGACTTGGCCGGTGGTGGTAGGGGTTCGTCTAAGGGTGGAAGTCGTTCTGATTGGCCTTCACAAAAAATAGAATCTCATGTCAATGACTCAGCCGGTGGTAGTTGGGGTTTCTCTAAGGGCGGCAGTGGTTCTGATTGGGCCTCACAGAAAAGAGAGCCTCCAATCATTGAAGGGAGTAATGACTCAGCTGGTGGTGGTTGGGGTTCTCCTAAGGTTGGCACTAATAAAAACATTTCCCAATATCAGTGGGGTACGCCACAGAAGAGTACAAATGAAAACCCACGAGGTTGGGGGTCTGAAGTTTCAGACCTCGAAAAATCGAAAGAAGCAACTGGAGTAGCCGATAGTAGTTGGGGTTCTTCCAAAGATGGTTGTGGTAAAGAATCATCAGGTAGTGGTTGGGGCTCTCCAAAGGTTGGCAATGATGAGGCTAATGGACAATCTGTTATGGATCCATATTATGGAATAGTATATCAACGAAGGCGTGGGCGTGAAGGTTAGGGGAGTTAGTTGATCAAATCTGGAAAGATCAGAATGCTCTGTGGCTGACCATGAGGAATAGGAAAGCTGTTATTAGTTATTTCCTTATTTAATTTAGGAAACTTCCTATTATCCTTATGCTTCCAATTAGGACTCTTGTAATCTCTATATAAGGGACCTATTTGATAAAGGACCCGGGAAGATTTAATTTGATGTGTCTTGACTAGGTCGGGCACCGATTATTTCCTTAAGACTCTTCATAGTTATTCTCCGCCATACTTGTCATGTCGTCACCTAGTCGTCTACTAGGCGTCCTGGCGCTAGGTAGTTCTTGCCGGGTACTCTCGCCTCCCCGGAAGAAGATTAGTCGAGCTTGGCGTCGTCCAGGCGTGAATTTGGCGACTAGTCGCCGCCTAATAGCCTATTTTCCCCAGTAGCCGTCGGCCAGGCCCAAAAAAGAAATTAAGAATAGATAAAGTCCAAAGTAATCTTACGAACTTCGTTGCCATCATCGTCTAACTCAAATAGCAGAGTCGTAGTGTCGAAGCAGACGACTAGAGACCAATAGATTCCTAGGTCCACCGATCTCTCATTCTTTTCTTGTATAGTGGATTTAGTTTTGTAATATTTTAATTTGTTAAGTATTTAAATAAGGCCTTTTTATTCCAATATTACTAAAAATAGGATAAAAGATAAAAAAGTAATCTGTTTTTTAAAATTCTAAAAATGTGACCATTATCACAATTAACCCTGCAGTGCAAAGTGACTTCAGGCAAAGTGACTCCGGTCAAAGTGACCCAACCAACCACAGTGACTGCCCCGCCGGCCACATCCCGCCGGCCACAGTGACTGCCCCGCCGTCACAGTGACTGCCCCGCCGCCATAGTGACTCCGACGCACAGTGACTCCGCCGCATAGTGACTACAACCATATTGACTGTCCGGCTACCATCACAGTGTCAACGCCGCCAGCAACGCTCAATTACCGCCGCCACACTGTCCAATTACCTCCGCCGGCCACCGCCTCCGGCAACCGCCAACTACAGTCGTTTGCAACCACCACACCCAAGCCCCTGCTGCCTCACCCCAGCCTAACCCCAACCTCACCCAGCCCCATCCCCTGTGTCACCCCAATCCCCCTACCTCACCCAGCCCCCTCCCCTACCTCACCCAACCCCCTGCCTCACCCAGCCCCCCTGCCTCACCCAGCCCCCCTTTCCACAGCCCCCATCGGACAAACACTTCTCTTGGAGGTCAGCCCACCTCCATAGTCGCCCACCTCCCAGATCTAAATCCACAGGCAAGCAGTGACGGCCAAGCAGCGACGGAACAGACAGTCCGGCTGTTCAGGTCCCTCTCCGACTTAGAGGACGGTGGACCTGAGCCGTCATCCACCGACGTTGGACGATCCGGAACCGGCAGCGAGAAGAAAGACGAAGAATAGATCCGGAGAGGGAGAAGACCTGGGATGCGTAGATCTAGGCGGCTTGGTCTCTTCTCACGCGATGGAGAAGACGAATCTCACAGGCCTTGTTGAAGAGATGTGATGCGGATGGAGAAACGGATCTCGCGTGAGGGAGAAGAGAGGTGCGGGTCACTTTTTAGGGAAAAACTAAAATGGTTATATTTTTAGAAATGGGAAGTCTGGAAGTCATACGTGGGCAATTTTTTCTTTAAATAATTAGTATATTTATACACATGTGTGTTATCAATATATGCATATATATACTTTTATACTCCCTCTGACCCGAAAAGGTTGGCCTAATTTCCTTTTTTGGATGTCCCAAAAAGATTTGACATTTCCATTTAAAGTAAGGAATATGTGGCTAAAGTTAATTCTCTCTCCTCTGCACAAATTTCAATCACACAGTTTTTATTTTATTAATCAACGTGAAAGTCAACTTTGGCCAACCTTTTCGGGACGGAGGGAGTATATTATATACTCCGTAATAAACAATTAAACACGCTCGCTGCACACGCTGAGCTGCTTATATGCTCTATTGCTCCGTACATTTTTAATTTATTATATGTTATAAAGTAATATAAACTATTAAACTAATAATAAAAATTATTATATATATAATTACATATTATTTGAGACAGACATTATTACTGTTACATCCCAATAATAAACATCGTTTTCAATTATTAATTGTGAGTTTCAATTCTAAGTTATATTATATATGTAGTACAATTTAATTAGTTATATATTATACATAATATATAATTATATTATTTTATATAATATATTTTAAAATTTATGACTAGTCGTCTAATTCTCGCCTAGGCGGGCGCCTTATCACCTAGGCGATATGGTGGTCGGCTGGCGTTGCAACTCGACTTACCGCCGTGAGTCCGTGATAAGTATTTCTCCGTGTCATTCGATAATCTTAGTATAACAACATTGATACTAAGAGCATCTCCAATACTCTGACGTGCACGGTGCACATGTGGCATGAGTCATAGCCACATAAATATTAGCAAATAAATTATCTCTCTCCTTATTTAAATGATTTTATACAATTATGGTAAGTTTTTTCCTGCAATGTCAACAACAATGTCAACATTTAGACGGTCTCCTTGACATTGTGGAGAAAAACATACCAAAACTATATAAAATCATTTAAATAAGGAGACAAAGAATTTATGTACTAATATGTATGTGGTCATTTCTCATGTCATGTGTGCACAGTGCACGTTATAGTATTGGAGATGCTCTAAGGTCTCATTTAAGACCTTGGACAAGGTTGTATACGCGAGTCCTTAACACAATCTCAATGGGGCGCACACAAGAGTGTAGGATCCTCTGGTGGAGCAAAGGAAGGCAGGAATGATTCTGGTGTTGGTGTTGGTTGGGGCTCTCCAAAGACGAGGGGGCAATGGACAATCTCAATGGCTCCCACGGAAGAGGAATAGAGAAGACAACAATGAAAGTCCGCAAAGTTGGGGGGCTTCTGCAGGTGCCGTAGGAGGGCATTGGAAGAATAAGAGAAACCGCCCACCAAGGCCAGCTGATGATTCTGGTGCTGGTGTGGCTTTCACCTTTACAAGGCAGAGGATGGATAAATTCACAGCTGAGGAGCAAGAGATTCTCCTTGAGGTTAAGCCTATCATGCAAAATATCAGAAGGATAATGCATCAATCAGGGTAATCGCATTTACTAATTATGGTGGATGCACATTTGAATCTAATTTGATACTTGTGTAAGTTGCTTCTCATTTACGATTGCTTGAAGAATGATATTTCCATTTGATTTTGAAGTTCTATAAAATTTTGTGAGCTTCTTGCCAAACTTGATACTATGTTTCAATTTTCATATGTAGCAATATAATTGGCAAATGAAACGTGCATAGCCTTCTAACTTGTTTCACTTGTCTTTCTTCTTCTTCTTGAGATCAAAGGTTGAATGATGGCGATCCACTAACTCCTGATGACAAAGCGTATATTGTTGAGAATGGTGTCATTTATCATCCGGATAAAGCCTCAAAAATTGGAATGAGTTGATTACCTTGTGGTAAGCTCTGCAGCACTGCATTTGAATTTATTACAAATTATGTTTTTAGTACTTAGTCTAGTGTTTCTAGACTGGGCAATTTTCTTAGTTATGTTTACAATTTTTGTGCTTCTGTGTAGAGTTCTTATTCCCATACGGTACTTTCTTAATGTGGCAACACCGCTCTCTTAATTGATTTCGTGAATTACAGATTATCAAGCACAGTAATTTCCAGGACACTAGATGCTTCTACGCGGTGTCAACAGATGGTACCAAACAATTTATTTCCTACCTTAAATGCCTGGAAAACTTAGTGAAGGCCAAGTTCCCGGATAAAGCTGAAACCTTCTACCAGAAGTATTTCTATGTAAAACCTCCCCCTCCTTGCCTCGTCACCCGGTTGGAAACAACAAGAAAATAGTGGTGGGGGTGCCACTCCAGAAGCTGGAACTGAAGAACCCAAACAACGAGAGCCTTTTAGTAGGCTCTTAGGGAGTGTTTGCAAATGCTTCTCCTTAAAAAAACACTTTTTTGAAGTGATTTTGGAAAAGTGATTAGTACTAAAAGTTGATAGTGTTTGAGAAAAAAGTGATTTTAAAAAGTAAAAGTTAGTAGTGTTTGGTAAAATAAGTGTTTTTTGTGTAATAGAAAAAGTAAAAAGCACTTTTAACACAAAAGCCGAGAAACGCTTTTTTACTAAAGTTAAAAAATGTATTCATTATTTACGAAATAATCTATTTATTAGAGTAAGATAAATCAAACTTAATTAACAAAGGTTCCACATGCCATCACAACGGCTAGCTATATTGTTAGAGTTTCGGATGCAAAACATAAGAATTAACAACGAACAACAAATACTAAACGATTGCAAATAACAAAACACTGAATTAGTACAATTCTACTATGATTGACATGAAATCTTATTCAATATGAAATAGTGCGTAACATTTGAATATAATTAAAAAAAGAACACAACACATATTCATTGTTGGTATGAATGGGTTGGTTTGCAACTACTTTTAAAAAAGTACTTCCCAAACACTAACTTTTATTTTTCTCGGCTTCCGCGTCAAAAGTGCTTTTACTTTTTCTATTACACAAAAAGCACTTATTTTACCAAACACTACCCACTTTTACTTTTCAAAATCACTTTTTTCTCAAACACTATCAACTTTTATTTAATCACTTCTCCCCATTTCATTAAAAAAAACACCTTTTTAAACAGGGCCGGCCCTGACATGTAGAAGGCCCCGTGCAAAAATTGAGTACGAGGCCTCAAGTATAAAACACTATATTAATACTTCCACCGGTTTTAAATAATAGTCTCCTTAGATTTTTTGTGAGTTTTAAGAAGAAATAGTAGGTGTAGTATAGAGGTATAAGGTAAATGAAAAAGTAGAAAAGAGAATATATTAAGAAAGTAAAGTAATGACAAAGTATGAAAAATAAAGTAGTTACAAGCTCGTTCCAAACTGTACGAGGGCTTTGTGCTAATTACTTTAACTAGGCCTTGTGAAATAAGGGAATTACACAATTGTAATTAACAATTGCATTTTAATTACATATAAATATTACTATTTAATGATTGTATTTAAAGAAGTACTAAGATAGGAATATTTACTCAAATAAATAAAGATTTATTATATTATACGAAGTATAGACTATATATATTTTGGGCCTTCTGAAATCGAGATGCCTTGTGCGGTAGCACTTCTTGTACGCCCTCATCTATGGCCCTGTTTTTAAAAGCAGAAGCTGTTGCAAACAGACCCATAGAACATGTCAGTTGATGCGTTCTTATTGAAAGCGTAGCTAGTTAATAACTTAATATTGCAAAAGACATTGTTCCACGAATGACATGATGAATGAGAAAGTGTAGTGAATGAGAATATGACATTATAATAGACAAATTGAGAAAGTATATATGGAGTATGATGAATGATAAGCTCGGTCGTCGCCCCCCAAACGCTGATACAATAATATAGTGAAGTAGAGTTCATATACATAGAGAAATGTATTCTTTTTGTGTGAACGACATATGAATTGTACAATAATATAAATGGTATCCTTAAAGGCGTGTGGCCGCTGTCCAAACCCAATAGTCGTGAAACCTGGGGTCCGAGTCTACATACTTTGTCAACATGATTTTCTTAACTATTACTCCGTAGCAAGGATTGTCTTGGCCCAGTTTATCACCCTAGCACAAGTGCATAACCATACCTGATTGTGCAAAACAATCCATTCAAGCAAGCAATCCCAAGCATTACATTAGTAAATTTAGTATACGATGAAAGTCGTGCAGAAGTGCAAACATTACAAAATCCTATAATGAATGTCTGAATGATGTCTACAGTAGGTGAGGAGTAGCATATTCTTTTGCAACCAACAATTTATTAGCTATTCAAATGGGTTTGCAGTCATAAAAAGATGTAGAGGGCTCAAAATTTAGTGATGCACAATACAAAAAAGTCTGATCGATTTCGGACAATGGCCATGTTTGGCAATGTTAGCTGATTGTGTTAGCGGATTATCAATAGCTGATTGTATTAGATGTTTTGATTGTCTCATGATGTTAGTTTGTTCTAGATAAGAGTTTGGTAAAATTAGCTGATTGTGAATAGTTGTTACAGTGCGGAAGGACATATATGGACATGGTTATATTTATTGTTTGAAATAATGACAAGAACAATACTACCAGGTTTTGAATAGACAAAATAGAACCAACTTCTATTCTGGACAAAAAAGAGATTAAAAAATATTGAAAATTCTAAAATACCCCCACCCATCTTCCTCCGCCGTTTTACCGCAACAACCCAGACATCTAGATGGAGATGCGCGCAGTTGGAGCTTAGGGGCCGCCGCCGATTTGCTTCCGCTGAAGGACTCGCCAACACCTCTGCACCGTCGTCGCCTCTGCAACGCCGTCTCCGTCACCTCTGCACCGTCATCGCCTCTGCAACGCCATCGCCGTCCTCTCCTCTTAGATCTAAACTCTGAGATTCTGGAATGCTGTATTCGGCCAGATCCATCGACGTCATCTTACGCCAGATCGGTCGACGTCTTCGGACAGATCCACAGTCGTCTTTGATGGAGCAGATGTCGCAGGGTGAGCTACGGCCGCGGCTAGGGTTGCAGGTTCATCAGCGCCGCGGTTGTGGGGCTGGGGTTGGGGCTAGGGCTGTGCAGGGGCTGTCGCTGGGGAGGGGGGCTGTCGCTGAGGAGTAGCTGCGATTTTTGAACGGTCCAGTGGTGGTAGCTGGAGGTGTTCGCCAGAGGTGATGGTCGCTGGTAGTGGCCGGAGGTGAAAGTCGGCGGTGATCATTTTTAGGCTGAGTCATTGTAAATGATTGTTCTGGTTAACTGGTCAAATCGGGCAACCGTAAGTGACGAATCGGGTAACTATAATTGAACGAATCAGATAACTGGAACTCGTGGGATCAGGTAACTGTAAATGGATGGGTTGAGTAACTATAACTGGATGAGTCAGGTAACTGTAACTGGACGAGACAGATAACTGTATCTGGACGGGTCGGGTACCTGAAATTGGACGGGATGGGTAATTTGTAACTGAACGGGTCGGGTAACTGTAATTGGATGTGATGGGTAACTGTAACTGGACGGGTAACTGTAACTGGACGGGTCAGATAACTGTAATTGGACGAGCCGGTAATTTGTAACTGAACGGGTCTGGTAACTGTAAGTAGTCGAGTCTGGTAACTGTAACTACGAATCGGTAACTGTAACTGATGAATCGGGTAACTATAACTGAGGATTGCAGGTAACTGGTGGGACAGGTCACCGAAAGTTTTTTTATCACTATCATTTTGTGGCCACGGATAGATTTTTTATCACTTTTGGGACTAGTAACTGAGACAGTCATCACTTGAACGGTAGTAGTTGAGGCGATGTCCCTAACTCGATAATAATTGGATTATTGAAACGGTTACTTGAGCGGAAGTAGTTGTAATCGGGATTGGTCATTGAGATAGTTGGCACACAATTTTCATATCCAAACATTTTTCTTTATAAATAATACTCCCTCCGTCCCATAATTATCTTCATTCTTTCCTTTTTGGTCCGTCCCAAAATTATCTCCTCTTTCCCTTTTTAGCAAAGGATTTGTGGTTCACAACCATTCTTACACATTTCTCTCTCCTCTGCACAACTCTCCACCACACATTTCCCACTTTCTTAATCTCCGTGCCCAGTCAAAACCGAAGTTAATTCTGGGACGGAGGGAGTACTATTTATTTAAATATTAAAATAATATTATAGTGATTGAATTGTAACGGAATATTCAAACAAAAAAGCCACTAACGGAGTGCATTAAGGCTCTGTTTGCAAACCCAACTGGGAAGTGCTTTTAACTTTTTTAAATGATTTGATAAAAAAGTGATTAATAGTAAAAGTTGGTAGTGTTTGAGAAAAAAGTGATTTTTAAAAGTAAAAGTTGGTGGTGTTTGGTAAAATAAGTGCTTTTTGTGTAATAGAAAAAGTAAAAAGCAGATTCTAGCTTTTAGCTTTTAAGTAATTCATTTAAGTAGAAGTTGTCATTTGAAAACATCTTTTTTAGCTTTTTTAAGCCAAAAGCTGGGAAGTGCTTTTTTAGTTGTGTTTGCAAACAGAGCTGATGGATAGTCTACCCGGGGGGTATCTTATCCGAGGGGTTATTACGGGAATAACTTAGAGAGAAGTCAGAGCGAATAGGAGGAGAGAGAGTCGATTTTATTAAATGAACTCGAGATGTGGAGTTGAGATGTAGATTGTCATTTACAAGGAGAAATGGGCTGCTATTTATAGCAGCAATAAATGCGATGAGGGGACACGTGTCAGTAATCCAACGGCCGAAGGGTCACATCAGCCTAGTGGCACCGGCAGTGGTACGTCAACCGCATTGAATGCGGTTGGCGGATGTGACGTGGCATTAAATGCGGTGGTTGGCTGTCCCTAAAAGGAATCTTCGATGATTGAGCCTGTTTATGCCGAAGGCTCCTTGTGTAGCCGAGGGCTCCCAGCCGAAGGCTCCTTGTGTAGCCGAGGGCTCCTTGTGCAGCCGAGGGCTCGTTGTGTAGCCGAAGGCTTCTTGTGCAGCCGAGGGCTCGTTGTGTAGCCGAAGGCTTGGTTCAGCCGAAGGCTTCCCCCTGGTGCCGAGGGCATGAGAATGCCGAAGGCTCATGTCTTCGCCCGTTTTCTCCCAGCAGCTTCTTATGCCAGAGAAGGCTATCCTGTGAGTTTTGGAGCCTTCGGCCAAGGAGGCCGAAGGCACCCCAGTGTGTATTCTGGGCTACTTTGAGGCTTGGGCCGTTGTATTTGGGCCTGAGTTGTTTCCTGAGCTCAATGGACTTGTGTAGGAGAAATAGGAGTCTATGGGCCGGGGGTTCCTGGGCCATATACTCCATCAGGAGTCCCTCACTCCTTTTGCCGAAAGGTACTTGAGGGAAAAGGAGTAGTCGTGTTTATCCTCCCGGAGGTTGCCTTGTTTCGCTGGGTGCCTTTGCTGGAGAACTTGCCTTCTGCTGAATGCCGAAGGCTTCACTCAGTCCCTCACATGTCGAGGGTTTTCTGAGGGAAGGTATTCATAACCTTCGCATGTTCGCCGGGGGCTCCCCTCAGTCCCTCACATGTCGAGGGTTTTCTGGGGAAAGCATAGATGTATTGCATGCATGTGTTGTGATGAGGGCTGCTTCATTTCCGCAAGTGACTTGTGGAAAATTTCTGACATTTTGCTTTGCCGAAGGGTGTAATGGTGTACGCACCCGAGGGCTACATGTGTTATCTGTGAATTTTTGTATGAAGAAATTTTTGTTCTGTAAGATTCCCGAGGGGTGTATCCCAGTCCCCCACTCCTTTAGGCCGAAGGCGAGTTCGGGCTGAAGGAGTTATAGTGTGTTGTTGGGTTCTCCGAGGGGTTAGCCGAAAGCTCATACTATTATCTGCTCGAAGCCTCTCGCAGGTGGTGGCCGGGGGCTACCATCCAGTATACGCGTCGAGGAGTGGCAACATTGACAAGCGAAGGCTCTTGTTGCTGCCGGATCGAAGGCGTTGTGTTGGAATTCATTGGCTGAAGGTTGTGGTGAGTGATAGCCGGAGGCTATCATTCGAGGGCACCCCAGTGTTGCCGAAATATAGTCGTTGTAATATAGCCGTTGGAAGAGGGGTTGACGTGGCGTGTCCTCGTTGGTTGGGGGTGGGCGGCTGCCACCCATTGGGCGATGAGGCG